AAAAAATCTTATCCCGAAATTTTATCCGATTATGAATAGTCTTGACACGTAGGAACCCGTAAATCTTATCCGAAAATATTATCCAAATTAATTATTGAGGTAAAAAAAATTGTGAATAAAACAAAAAAATAAATAGTAACTGCCCTTAGCAAAGGCAACGGGTGGAAACACAAAATTCTGATTTGCAAGGGCAACTACTATTCATGTGAATAGTAGCTGCCCTAGCTCCCCCCTTGTCATGGTTAAGGGCAAATGGGTGGAGTTGCTCTAAGAGCTTCTCCAGCGCTCACCCAAAACCTGGGCAAAAGGCCCCCCTAGCAGCCCAACTCCCCTCCAGCGCGCTAAAAGGAGCTCGGGCAATGGCTGGGTCCCACCAGCCCGGGCAGGCCCAAGGGCAACTTTCGCCTGGGCTTCAGCCCGCGGGCGCTGACGTCAGCGCTGGTGTTATGCTGACGTCAGCGAGCAAAAAAAAATTCAAAAAAATTATAAAAAATTCAATTTTTTTTTAAAAAAATACCAACAAATTATGGATATTTTCCCTATAAATACATAACAATTTTATTCACTTTCCTTATAAATACATAACAATTTTATATTTTGTTGCATATATTTTTTTTTTCTTGCCCTTGACTTGCCTTAGACTTTGCCCTCATGGGTGGAACTACAAATGCAAAGGCTGATACTATTCAGGTGAATAGTTGCAGCCCTTGCTTGCCCTTGCCTAAGACTTAGCCCTTGTAGGTGGAGATGCTCTAAGGGGAGGGCTGTGGGGGGTTTGGGCCAAAATCTTGTTTCTAGCGACAAGGGCTAGCCCTAGCAGGAGATGGGGCCCACGAACCCAGTCTAGCCCTCAGACAAAATCTGCCTTAGTTCCAGCCCCAGTTTGCTGACGTCAGCGATAATGTCGGCAAGAAAAAAAATATTAAAAAAATACAAAAAATTTCAGATTTTTTTTTAAAAATAAATACTTAGTTGTAGTTTTCACTTCCCACACCAAAACTTTATACAAATTTCTCTCCTCATATCTCATGTAAATAGTTGTTGCCATGGCAATCGGTGGAAACACTACAACTTTTTGCAAGGGCAGCAACTATTCACGTGAATAGTGGCTGCCCTACCTCCCCCCTTGCCATAATAAATGGAAAATGGGTGGAGTCGCTCTTAGGAGACTGGAGTTCGAGTTTTGGCATGAGCATAACCAGCTTTTAATCTCTCGCCAAATTAATTGGTTTTGGCATGAGCCAACCATTATGTCCCTTTTTCTTTTTCACACCTTACAAAACCGGACTAGACCAGACCAGACCAATTACGTATTTTTTTAATTTTTTTTAAATTATTTAAGTCCAATACTAAATTTTTAATCCCATAATTAATATTTCATCAAGCCTAACTTCAAAGCACTTTTCATTTATAGGCCAAATCATCTCTTTGTATATGAAATTAGATCATTTGTGAATTTTTAAGCCCAAAAAATAAAATTTTAGTTGGAATTTATAAATAAATAAATTGTAAAAAAAAAAAATCCAATCCAACACCCAAAAAATAAAAAACCGCACCAAAACCGAATTAAATCGGACCAGCCAATTTCATAAATTCTTTTCACAAAAACTGGACCAAACCACACCTGTTAAATAGTACAAATTCCAATTTTAGTGTGAAGTGGAAACCAAACTAAACCGAACCGCGCCCACCCTACTTTAAGGCTTATATTTGTTTTTTTATGCAAATATTAGCATCTGCCTCAAAACATCGCAACCAATCTGCTTTTCTATACCACAAAGATTTACACACTGTTTCATAAGTTTATGGCAAACTCTACATAAAAAGCTTCAATGCAATTAGGATTACACCCTTCTTGCTTCATTGAACACATGGAAAAAGCTTTATACAGAACTACAACCGAAACATTCTCACAATCAACTTTAAATTTTGGTTGCCAGCATCAGGGCGCATCCTTTTCTTTTGTAACAAGTGTGAAAGTTCTATACCACCAAATTTCTATCTAACTTGGGTAACATATATATATAAATATATATATATATATATATATATATATATATTATAACGAGGTTCTTCAACGCAGTCCAGAGCAAGGATCTTCAACGCAGTCCACCTATGTACATTAGGTTGTCTTGTTCTCTTCATCTGCTACATTATAAAGGAAATTCCATACACAATCAAACAAAAAGCCATTAAGGAACGCAGGTAAGAATGCACACAAGAATACTTGCTTAAAGCCTTATAGCTCTCTGGTGACAACTATGAATTTTGAAGTGAAAAAACTGCACAATAACTTTAGACCAAGAAAAAGAGAGCTTCTGGCATTGTGCTTTCTGGGACTAGTTGAAGCCTTCAATAAATGCAAGGCTGGCAAACATACTTAAACATATCCTACTTTGTTTTTTCATGGCCTGACTATACAACAGATACATACTAACATAAAATGAATTCAAGCTTAAATCTTGCACATTATGTACAAAATCTGCAAGCTACCATCAATGGGTTCCAGACTCAGCACATTGTCACCCTTTTCTAACATGCATTGCCGCCCACACAAGTTTTTATTAATTTTATTTTTTCAAAACACTATCATCAACTATGTTAACATTGCCAACCACTATCATTACCAACAAACTCTCTGCTCAAATTCAGGAGCTCCAACAGGTCAGCCAGAAAAATATTATTTTATACTGTGGTTTGGCTAAGGAGAAAAAGATATTTTAGTAAAACCATGAGTATGCTACACTGGTTGAGCTACTTCAGGCTCTAGTCATACATCTAGTTGGATTAAAAAAAAAAGTAAAATGTAACACACCATGAAGAGACCTTTCAAAGCTCTGCAGTTGTGATATGAAACCAGAATTTGGAGCTGCCTGAGGTCGTCTGCTCTTCACATGCTCAAGAGCTTGAGATAGGTTCATGCCATGCTTTTTCATCAGATATGCAACAACAATAGTCACACTGCAAGGTCAAACAATTAAAGGCATGAAAACTGTAGTAGTTTCCAAGTTCTAGTAATATCAATAAGCAAAATGTTTCACTCAAAGGTATTTTCAAAGCTGTGCGAATTTCCTAGCTTATACAGTTTGAATTTGGCTTTACTAGAATTGATGACCATTGGATAAAGCTCGACTCGGATCTAGGTTCAACAAAACTACGTAAAACCACATAACTCTTGACCTTCATCTAGATTAGTTTAAACCAGCAAGGCAACTTCTAATATTGAGAAAAGATATGCAAATTTCTAAGCATTTATTATCAGAATTCATTGGAACTACAAGATAATTTATGCTTATTTCCCTAAACATGAAATATCAAAGAGATCAATAGAACCAAACTTCAAGGATTCACTTCTTATGGGAATGATTAAAAGTGTTGACTTAAATCAAGAAAGAAAAGAACTTGAAAGCAATAACCCAAACAGGGTGAGAAAAACCACCTTCTGGATCTTCCCACAAAGCAATGAACCAACACACCACCACCAGATCTTTTAGCTTCATCAATATAATCAATACACTCATCAAAGTGTTGCTTTAAATCTGTTGATACTCTGTCCGCAACTACCTCAATTTTGAAAGAGCACCAGAAGATAAATACGAATTTCAGTTCTATAAGCCCACCTTGGTTTGAAACAACAATTATGAACAAGCTGATGTTTAAATGGTCTTAGATTCAAGGCATTAACAACTTCATATGGTGGGGTTGTGAGGTATACAGTCATGAAGGCATACTGTATAAGTAAAGGCTGGTGAGAACCAAACATAACAAAATTGGAGTAAAAGTGCTTCAGAATGCTGAATAAGTGTTTGCTTGTGTGCTGGAAGATACTGGAAGAATGAAGCACGCCAAAGATGTGCAGAATTGCTTACTTATTTTATATAAATGCTAAAATCATTTGCAAATCACTTATGATCCAAAATTATGAAGGAAAAAAAAACTAAACTTTGAATCGGCTACACAAAGCAATTGATTGGATGCAAGTTGAAGACTCTGTAAGAAACAATCAACTCAAGAGAAAATAAATTGAAGTATATTGTCCCAAAAAGTGGAGGGTATTTTAAAAACCTTAAAGACATGCAGTCGGAAACAAAAAGAAAAGAAACCAGCGTATGTATTGCAACAGATCAGAGGAACAACATTCTTACCATTTATAATCTTATACACAAAATCATTTGGATATGAAGGTTCAAATGAATTAGCCACAGTCAAAATGTGTGTGATGTTTAAGTTTTTTAGTTCCTCCTTGTTATTAGCAGCTCCAATAGAACCCAAGAAGAGACCCTGGAATATGAAAACAATAGAAACAAGTGAGTCAATTGGTAATGATCGCATCTGTCCAATAAGTGTCCTATACGCAGTCCAATTGCTCTAGCTGCAGAAAACAGGGCAGTAGAAACAATGCAGAGCGAATGATGAACATATTGCAAAATTACAATCTTGTGACCTCTTCAATTTGGCATGGAACATTGTCCTCTTTGGAGCATCTTGTCACATGTATAATTCTCAACAATGCTGCAATTTGTTTCTTCAGGGATTCATCCATCTGATCCATTGCTAGTCACAGGAAAATTTTCACTCGTTAACTGACTCCCCTGCAAGGCAATCATCCAAATAATAAGGAAAGCAAATTTAATTTTGAACAAATTATAGATTCCCTAATTAACACTTTTATATTGAAGTTCAAATACATAAAAAAGATAAGGTTAATACAAGGTCATTCATGCAATTCTCTTTTGCTTGAAACATGATTGAATCATCCAAAAGCACCCACAGAAACTAAATCGCGAACAAGCTCAAAACATGAACTTTGACTTATTTCTGAAATACCACCATAACAAAGGGCAAATCAAGTGCAAACAGAATAATAATAATAAAAAGCTCACATTTTTTTTTCCAGAAGATCGACATAAACACTTCCATCAATCAAGTTATTCATTGGACTGTAAACCCAGATGTGAACCTCTAGAGATACATAACCAATCAAACAAACCCATAAGAGGAAATCAAATTACCATAAATAATTATACCGATATGAATTTAGCTTTCAAGAGAGCAAGTTTCCCAATTATTGATTTGTTGAACAAACCAAGAAGTGTAAAATTCACATCAAATTGGAGGAACAAACATCTAGATCAGGTGCAGAGTGAAGTAAAAAATAAAAATAAATTTACAACAAAATCGAAGAGGGCACTCACTCAACAAGCTGCGATATAGGAAATTTGAGGTCTGAGAATGAGCGTTTGTTTATCCCACGCATCTGATCATTGTGTTTTGGTCCTATATAACTTAGTCTTGGGGTTTTTTTTTTTCTTTTCTCTTGTTTTGGAAAGTCTTCCCTCGTCTTCTTTCTATTTCCTCTCGTTTTTTAAATATTTTCTTCTTGTTTCAGTTTGCTTTTCCCATGTCAAAAAAGAGTACAGTTCAATTTCACAATTTTACATGTATTGGGCTCATCCAAAACAGAAGATATGAACCAACAAAAGGTCCAAAGACAAAACCCAGAGACGGCCCAAAACAAAAGACAAAGCCCGAAATCCACCAAAGCCTAACGTGATTGTACCGGAGAGAGGTTCTGAGGGTTGAAAATTTTGGGCGATTGAGTTGAGGAGACCTTCTGTGCTGAAGTGGCTGTGCAGCCACTCGCATGCCAATCACGTGAGTCACACGTGACTTAGAGAAAGGAAAAGCTATCCAGACTCACGTGCTAGAGGTCCTCCACGAACGCTGCCATCACTTCATTGCCGACTATCTGCCTTAGCCAATCCCAAGTGAGGTCCTCCAACTCTTCCCCAAAACTCATCTGCATAAAGCTACATTTCATAGGCAAAACCTCACTCAATTAGGCTCTGCCTTTCTTAACGGGGCTTCCATTTCATCTAATACTCACCCAATTGAGAGGTATTTAGTTTGATTTGTTCTTGGGCATGATGAATTTTGTTTGTGTCAATTTCATTGGTTTTTAGTGAACAGATAAACTGTCAATTGACAATTGTATGCTATCAAAATTTCGGTTGGAAAGTTTAGGGCCCGTTTGGTGTCCTACTTGGATCCAATTTTATAAAGTCATTAATAAGTTCATTTTTAAAAACCCAAACCCCAAAAAAAAAATAAATCAAAAACACCCTTATTATTAAAAACAAAAAATGTGATGTATTACAGTGCTCTCTCTCTCTCTCTTGCCCACCACCAAAGTTGATAGGGTTTATGCCTCACAACTTTTTCCTTTTCTTTTGTTAATTTCAATTTGGGGATTAGAGTTTTTGATTTTCTTTTAAATTCAATTTTTTTAGATCTTAAAGTTAGTTTGAAGTTTAAAACCAAACAAGTTTTTAGATCTTAAAATCACTATTTGAAAACTCATGTTTTTAAAAAGAATCATAGTTTTTAGTTTACTTTTTTGAGTAGGATACCAAACAAGGTCTTAATTTCTCCGCCCTGCTGTTTTTTCTCTTCAAGGAAAATTGAGAATGGTCTTGTTAGTTTGCATCAGCATAGAAAGATAATAAACTTGATGATTCAAATGATAGTGGTTGAGGGCAAAATGTGAATTTTCAGAAAGCATTGCAGTCCTTGTTGTTCATAATTTATGAACATTTCGTTTTCTTTTTCTAGCTGTTTTAGGAAATAAGGGGTCCTAGGTCACTTAGTTGCCTTAGATTATGTGATAAGCTTAATTCGAATGAATTAGTTTGAATTCAAATCTCAAAAAACCTTGTTCGTATGCATTTTATGTTCATGAAAACTCCTTCCTTTTTTTTCTTCACAAAAATATTTAGGGGTACATTGGCAAATTTCTTAGCTGAGAGGTTGAAACATCCTTTTCAAGGGTGACTCACATGCCTCATCTATATTGAGGTAGCTGATCATAGTCTTCATAGCTAGACATTGGTTCACATATAGTTGAAAAATGAGTGATTTCACTGTTTCTTGGGCAAAATGAGAATAGGCAGGCATGATTTCACTGTGTTTGAACTGCTGTCAGCATTTGCGAACTGCATCTCATCTTGAAATGTGCTCTTCTCAACTTTAGGAGAAGTTGTGTGTAACTAATACCTCCCTTTTTCTTTGTGAACGGCGTTGGGGGATGATGTCCGTTTAAGCACTTCAAAGGTTTTCATCTCTGAACTTAATAAATCTTTTCCATTTGTTACTTATGGATCCAGCACATGATTGAGATCTTTGATTCAGATTTAGGATATATGTTGCAGTATGCTTATTTCCTACTCATTACATTAATGCTTGTTGATGCAGGTCTTTCTCTTCTTCAATATCCTGGGGTGATGCACTTCAGGGAGCCATAACCTACATAAATGAGATTTTCCAAACAAGTACATGACTACACTAATTTAACAATATCAATTTATGCAATTGCATATTGTAAACTAACAATTGCACACAGATGCTATGAAATTGCATACAGGTATATGCAATTGCATATTTTAAACTAACAATTGCACACAAACACTACGAAATTGCACACAGGTAAATGAAACACATGCGCTATCAAATGTGGTTCAATCATTCGACCATTTAGTAATACTTTTTGTTGAAAGTTTTTAAATTCATATTTGTATCAACAATAATATATTTGATATATATATTTTTTGTTAATTAACAATACAGTAACAATTGATGATAATCACCAAATTTCAATTTTCTTTCCAATAGTTCATTGTGGTTCAATTTAATAGTAAATCATGAAAGTTCTATTGAATAATTTATCCTAACAAACCTACCTAACGAACGCTAAGAGACTTGTTCATCGAGTAAATGATGTTGTCCCTTGACCAAATTACCAAACGAACACCATGATTTACTCAATGAACGAGTCCCTCAGCGTTCATTCGGTAAATTATATTGTTCGTTGGGTAGATCACTTAACAAACATCTTGACCGGAAAAAAAATAATAATTTAACGAACGGAATAATTTACCTGGTAAAGGAAAAAGGGCTCGTTTGTTGGGTAAACAATATTGTTCGTTGAGTAAATTACTCAATAAACGCCATGATTAAGTCAACGAATGTCTCATTCAGCATTCGTTAGGTAACATTGACATTCGGTGGGTAATAGGAATTTGGACTTGTTACTAAGCGAACAAAGTAATTTACACAGCGAACGCTAAGGGGCTTGTTCATTGGGTAAATTATGTCGTTCATTGGGTAAATTACATAATGAACGAAATAATTTACCTGTAAACGATAAATGGCTCATTTATTGGGTAAATAATGTTGTTTGTTGAGTAAATTACTCAATAAACGCTAAGATTTACTCAACAAACGACTCCCTTAGAGTTCGTTGGGTAAAAATTGACGTTCGGTAGGTAATGGGCATTTAGACTCGTTACCAAGCAAACATAATAATTTACACAAGGAACACTAAGGGGATCATTCATTGGGTAGATTATGTCATCCGTTAGGTAAATCACATAATGAATGGAATAATTTACTTGGTAAACGATAAATGGTTCGTTCGTTGGGTAAATAATGTCATTCATTGGGTAGATTATGTCGTATGTTAGTTAAATCACATAATGAATGGAATAATTTACTTGATAAATGGTTCGTTCGTTGGGTAAATAATGTCATTCATTGAGGATAATGATTAAAATATCAATATTGGGTAATAATTTTCTTTTTACTTTTTGTTTTCGATTTGAGATTTGTTTTATTACTCTAGTCATGATGAATCCAAATTTAGGCTTGTTAGAGGAGAACTGGTGGTTGATGGTTAACTTTTGCAAACCACATGTCTCAGAACTGGTGCTTTCTTAGCTATAAAATTTGAATACGAGTATTAACATCCAACGCTCCACGTTTTACTGTATCATTTCTTATGTGCCATTGCATATAGTTTTTGTGGGCAGCAGGATTGTGGGAGCATGATATTTCTTTTCCTTCTTTTAACCGGTTAACCACAACATCAGGTTTCCTTTATTTTAAAAATAGGTCACGTGCTGGCATGTGACTAACTGCACCCGGTGTACCACAGAAGGACTCAAAAAATTGCTCCAAAATATTTCTCCACCATTAAAAAATAATAATGTCATCCTCAGTCACACTCACACTATGACACATCAAATCAAAAATCCACGTGCCAACCCAAGAAGATAAACACTGACCAACTCCAAACACAAAATCTAGTCAGCACAATTCACATTATCCCATAGCTCTTATCCATTGTAATATTTAATCATTGTTGGCCACAGCCGCGGCAAACTGCAAAAGCACCAACTACCCTTTATTTTATCCTCACGTTCTTCGCATTTCCAGACCCAACACTCTCTCTCTCTTCCTCTCTGGTTTTCTTCCATGGCTGCTTCTCTGCATTTTTTCCATCTTCTTCTTTTGATCTCTTTCTTTTTGTGCAATCTCAACTTAGCTCAAGCTAAACCCTCTCACCCACCAAATGTTCTAATTTTTCTTGCGACCAAAGATGTGTCAACCCTCCAGTATATGACCACAATTCATCATGGCACTCCACTTGTGCCCACCAAGCTTGTGGTTGATCTTGGTGGTCCATTCCTCTGGCTCAACTGTGGGTCATCATCATCTTCTAGCCGTGTGATTTCTCAGGGCTCGATCCAATGCTTAGCAGCAAAGCCAAAAACCCATAATCAGGGAAGCAATGACAACAACAAGTGTCATGTTTTCCCAGAAAACAGCATCACCCAGATGGCAACACAAGGGGATTTAGTGCAAGATATCATGGCCGTCCAAGTCATAGATGGGTCATCAAAGACAGAGTCAGGTTCAATCACCACCTTTGATTCCAATTTCCTGTTTTCTTGTGCACCTATTTTCCTTTTGAATGGCTTAGCAAGTAGTGCCAGAGGATTGTTAGGCCTTGGAAGGACTCAGATTTCAATGGCCTCACAAATCTCTGCCAAACTCAGCTCCAAATTGCAATTCATGCTCTGCCTATCTTCATCAAATGGGGTCATATTACACAACAATGGCCACTTTGGCTCTGAAATTTCAAACTCACTCACATACGCATACACACCCCTCCTCACCAACCAACATGAGTATTTTATCAACTTGAAGTACATTAAAATCAGTGGCAAGAGATTGTCTCTAAACAGAGTGGGTTTTAGAGAAGGGATTAAGCTAAGCACAACTGTTCCTTACACTACCATGGAGAGATCAGTTTATGTTACATTTACTAGAGCTTATGAGCAGGCAGCTATGGCTATGAACATGACCAGAGTGACTCCTGTGGCACCATTTGGGCTCTGTTTTAGTTCAGAACAGGCTGAGGGCAGAGGGGTTGGTCCTAAAGTGCCTGCTATTGATCTGGTGCTGCAGAGTGAGATGGTGAAGTGGAGAATTCATGGTAGAAATTCAATGGTTCAGGTGAGCACCCAAGTGATGTGCTTGGGGTTTTTGGATGGAGGTTCTGACTTGAAGACTTCCATTGTAATTGGAGGATATCAATTAGAGGATACTCTTCTGCATTTTGATTTGAGTGCTTCTGTGCTGGGATTTAGCAGTCAAACAAGTTGTTCTGACTTGAGATTAGATTTTGCGCTTAAAGATTCATTGTAAATTAATGTTTTGTTTGATTTTGGTAGAAACTATAGTGTAAATTTTGACTATCCAGCTCGCTAATTTCCTTTGTGCAGCAAGCTTTTATTATTGTTATGATTATTTTAATTTCGCTTTTTAGGCCCCGTTTGGGATTGCATTTTTTTGCCAAAAATCTGCTTAACTTTAAAGTTAAGCAGTTTCAGGTGTTTGATAAAAATAAAATATCTCGATTATTTTAAAAGCATTGGCCTTTTGACAGCAGCTTTTAAAAGCAGACTCTGAGTTGCTTTTCAAAGTTGCTTTCAAAAGAAGCAGTGATGAATATTTAATGAATATTTTTAATTTCCAAAATATCATCATTCATTTTTAAAAATGACGCCACCTCTACTTCCACATCCAATTCCATTATTTGCACC